AGACACTCCGTCATCGATAACAACTTGTCTCTGATCATACCATAGATCAGCTGACGTATCTCCCGTCTTCCCTGCCTTGAGGCTCTTCCCCTTTACAGCCGATCGTGTTTCCAACAGCGTGTCTGCAATAGTCGGCTGCAAAACGAATCCAAACGAACTCTCACGCAAATTGCTCCTCGAACTCCTTCAAAGGCAAGCTTCCTCGCTGACACACAATCTGGGCCGCTCGAGCGACCCGAATCCTTCCCTCGTCTAACTCGATGTTAGTTCGCGACTTAGCCGTATTCTCCGTCGCGAGGGATGCTAGCAGACGGGCTACGACACTGAGCGGCGGCGTCGATCTACCCTGATAACACAACGGGTCCACAGTACTCACAACATGGTGACCAACCTCAGAGTCGCACACCGAATCCAATGCTTGCCAACACTCCTCAACATCAACGTGAATGCGGCCCCCATCCTCTTCGGAGGCGGCATCGCAACAGTCTGGGAGCACTGAGAGTATCTGACGATAAGCGGTGATGCGGACGGTGACACGAAGACTGACCAAATCCAAAGTTTCAACGATGAAGTTTTCGTCCATGACGATTATCCTGCCGGCATTGTCAGTAACAATCTTAGACTGTGGGTCATCCAAAAAGGCATCAACCTGCCGTAGTAGCAATATCGTTAACGCTACATGACCTCATCAGAATTTCCAGTCAGTCCGGCTCAGACACACAAAATTAACGGTTCTATGGTGTAACGGTTAGCACTCCAGACTCTGAATCTGGCGATCTGGGTTCAAATCCCGGTAGAACCTTATATTCACAAATACCTCTTCGTCACTTGCTTGCAGTGCATGCTTCAACCTCTTCCTATCATCAATCCCTTCCACGTCACCTTTCTGTTCCTCCAGCACCGATGCTACCTACCAACCAGGAGCCCATTTAACTTTGGGAGATAACGTTCGCTAGAGTGTGATAACAATGGGGAAATGTTCTCAATGTGATGATGATATTTACATGGGTAACTAATTGAAGAAATGTGTTCCTAGTCGTGCGGGAAATTCAAAATGAGTTCCCCGGGAACATAAGCGACATTTGGATGATTCCCTGCTACCAATCGCCCAAACCCTCTACAGAATCTCCCAGATTCACATAGAAAGATATCGCACAAACATTTGTCGTAATATCATACAATAGGAAGCAAGTGAACTCTCCTCAATTACAGCGTTGTGGTTGATCTTAGGCCCAATAGGCTCTAGCACGAACGTATCTCGTTGATTGCATGCTACTTCGACTCTTCCCCCTTCGACCACCCTACACGGAGGAGGACCTCCAACCGTTATGGACAGAGACACACCTACTGACACACCAAGCGGGCATTGGAGTTGTTCAAAGACTTCATCTCGAAGGACTGCCCACCAATACAGGCCACTGCCGCCTCATTCGGCTTACCTATCAATCACATGAAATCAAGGAAGGACTCCAACGGTTGTGAGATAGTCACTCAGTGTTGGAGTAGGAATATATTATCGCTCTTCTCAGCCGAGGAGCTCAGGAGTGTAAATACGAATTTGGGTAGAAGTGTATAGAAATCGCTGAGAATCCCCGCAAATTCCCCAACATTCTCGTATTGTCACCAACACATGTGATTGACCACGTATATATTTTCCCACACTGAGCACAAACAGCGGGAGACAAAGACTTCCCCACCCAGTTGGATGTAGCTTCTGATTCTACTACCCTTAATAACTACAAGCCTCTGTCCCTCTGCCTTAACAGCATCAACACCCTCCGGGAGCTCCAACAGCAGCAATCCACTATTACTATAAGTAGTAGAGAACCGTATGGGCAGAGAACTCGATGATGATGGTATGTGACGGGCGAGTGGGTGCTCACCGATAGCGGGCATTATTACAGTCAAACTTGCATGCATATATACCTCTCCTCGTTATGCCGACTAACTCAATACATACTAGGTGTTGGGAACACTCACCCACTGGAATATGTGTTCGCTTCCCTCAGCTGTGCTCAGGAGACTACATACAAGTTCGGGTAGGAGTGTACAGGAGCCAATGAGAAGTTCTCAAAATTCCCTCAGAATTTTCATATTATCACCAACACATGTACAGATATGCAGAGATCGAACTCGTGCTCTCCGCCGACACCTGCCTTTTCATACTAACCATCACACCCTGAACCTCAGCCTGAGGACGAGTAACACCCCAACAACGCTATCGAACTTCTCTCTCTAAATCGGGTGACAGATCGCCGGCCGTAAGTGCGAACAAGCGCTACATTAACCGTATCCACCTCCATGAGGCTATCAAGGATCTTCGTTGCCACAAATATAGTCCTCAAGACTATATCCGAATAGGAGGTGAATTTCCTGAAGGGAAGAGCATGGCATTCACAACCACTCGGTGAGTCCGAGCTGCCGGTTATCATGGGAACCTTGCATTTTCCAATCAGGAGAGAGCTCCTCAAGAAACAGTAATTCTCTATTGCTCTTATCGTCTAGCGAACAGTAATCGAACACAAGCCTGTACTATTCAATAAATGAAGATTCGTATGATCCGGTATAAACCCATGGCATGACCCCACGTAGGGGTCTCGGATCCTTTACATTATCAATTATTATCACTGCAGCGACGAGGGTGATGTTATCTCCATCAATTTTGATGATACATAGTTTGTGTTCAACAGTTTCAGCCTAGCGTTGAACCCTGGCAAGCCATTGTACACCAATATGCACGAAAGCCGCAAACTCGATTCCAACCAGCCAAAAATTCAAAGAGTCATAGGTCTATCAAAGTACAAGACTACATCGTGCGTGATCGTAGCTCCTTTGCGCTTGTGGATAGTTCGTGCGAAATCAGCCTGTGTAGGGTAGTACTCTTCGTTACCCTTATTCCGCAAGAGAAAGACCGAAATCCAGCAACGATTGGTTTCGGCCAATCCTATTAAGCGAGAATTCTATAATGCATACGTTATGAAAAGCATGCCGTTGACAAAATCAACTGGATATGTTGACAAGCAGTGCCGCGGCCGCCGCGAACGCTAGGCTTCTCTGGGTGCCTTGAGCGAGACCCCTCGTATCTCCCAGACACCCTGACGGCATGTTCGGACACGATGACCGACTCGAAGAGCGAGACTCAGACTAGGCTTTGATAGAGTATTCAAAGCCCTGAATAACAATCATGTCAACCACTGGAGAGTTCAAAGGCTGCGAGAATCCTCAGCTGTGACAGCGGAGCTCTCGGCTCATGCCATCGGCCTGATGAAGAAACTAGTTTAACTTTCGCCCTTGGAATTTCTCGTTCACGGAGCTGTCAACAACCGGAGTCGAACCTTCTTCATCTACCGTTTTTCATCCCAACGAATGTGGGCTCCAATCATTCAGATCGATCTCGATAACGTTGGAGGTGTGGGCAAAGTGGCACTTAGGAAGTGCGTACTCATGAATACGTTCCCATATCGGCAACGAGGAGATTCAATGAAATTTCGGCTCTTAGTGTTTTTCCTTGTAAAAACTAACGGAGAGGCGAGTCGATGAGCTTCCGACACATGCACTCACCAAGTTAATGCCGGAATCGTCAAATGCATTCTATCAAATAGAATGCACGGTCTCGTAATGACATTGTCTCAGTTTAGAATGCAAGTTCTCATGGGAAAGGCAGGAACTCAAGCGAATCTTCTTACTTCCGACGGTGAAAAGTCTTTCAGAGAGAGAACGGAGAACTGCAAAGCCAGAATCGTTATCGCCTAATAATAGAGGCAAGATTAGCTTGAATGAATTCAATTTGCAGCTCACCATTGTTGGATCAATTTCAAACTGAAATTTGATAAGCTCTGTAACAAGTCGGTCGACAACGTAGTGCCCTTCAAAAACAACTCTGAAGGTTACCGGACTCCCTGCGACCCTAGAGGCAGAAAGTTTCTGCGGCAAGAATTGTGCCACCTTCGATTGTCCCGTCATGATTCAGGACTCCTAAATACATAAGTTGCCACCCTTGCAACAAGGTCTTGCGCCACCAAATCTCGATACGTATTTCACGTAACTGTGTTGATTTTGACTAACCAGGGAAGCTCACCTATCCATCTTACATTGCCAATGAACGTTGATGAAAATTCCAGAATACCGAACCGTATTAACATAGCATACGAACTCAAGATAATTAGAATTACATAGAAGCAGTGTCATGTCATGGTGAGCAAACGCCAATGATCGCCTTCACTGCAGCCATCAGGAGATGAACGATCCACTTCTCGAATGAGCTCCTCCAAACTCCGTCTGGTGTTATCCCAACTATCATCTCGAGGGCAACTGACCACAATCGATCTGCTCATTGTACATCGATCGAGTACAGTCCGTGTAGATCTATCCGTATGGCGATTTAGTTAACGACTCGATGCAGCATAAACGTTCAGAACTTCTGTACGAGTCTCGAAAAATTCATCCACACATACGAAAATGCTTGTGCGTGGAGATATCCATTTCGCGCAATCCTCATTGCACATTGCGAGCATTAATCGAAGATACTACTCTTAAATCGATTAACATAGAATTGGAATATCCAACATCACCGTAGCTGATAGCACTACCTCTGCATCCATCGAGTTTTGTCGTATATTGACACGCCACTTTCCTTCACTCGTCGGGATGGTGATAACTGTTTGAAGTCGTCCCTTTTAGCTTGCCGAGAAAACTTCCTGCACAGTGCGAGGCAGCGTAAGATATCTCTTATAAGAGTATCGGCAAAAGCGCGTACGAACCGAGGACTTCCCATCACTAGTAAACAACTACGATTAGATGATCATTGCTATAAGTCATCATTGTTACTACGACAGTGTATTCGCTCAGCTAAAAGAAGCAGTACACTCAGCATTCCAAAAAGCAGCTCGGTCGTCTCACATGTCCACCGACACATCCCCAGTTTGATCAGGTCGATAGTCACGTAAGTACCTTACGATAGGCATCTCCTCAACCTTCACGCGCCACAAAATCACCGTTGTAGTTGCCTCTCCAACAGAGAGACTCTGTGTTGGGCATCCCGTAGTTGCTCTTTCAACACTTGATTCTCTTCCACTAAACCTGAACAATTTTCCCGAGGGACTACAGCTAGGTAGATGTGATTTCGTGGCGCGTGACAAGTCAGCGACTGAAGACCTCGTAGAGCCAAATCCTCCGACTTGTCCGGAGTTCTCTTCCTGCTATTCCTCTCCGTGTTGGGCGATGAGCCGTAACCTGAGGTCGTACGGCGTCGTGTGATAATTAAAACTCGCCGAGCGAAATTTCCTTCACCCTTCGCGAGCATGCTAAACTAAACTAGACTAAAATAGAGTTCAGATTCTGAAGATCAATTTGCTGACATTCGGAAGTTCAAAAGTTCTGCAAAGTCTCATGTAACTCACGCAATGATCATTTCTGAGAAACGCTAACGCCTTGTTCGATCGAGATGATGTATGATAAATCCTATCCCTACTACTATCACTACTATCACTACTATCACTACTATCACTACTATCACTACTATCACTACTATCACTACTATCACTACTATCACTACTATCACTACTATCACTACTATCACTACTATCACTAATATCACTACTATCACTACTATCACTACTATCACTACTATCACTAATATCACTACTATCACTACTATCACTACTATCACTACTATCACTACTATCACTAATATCACTACTATCACTACTATCACTACTATCACTACTATCACTACTATCACCACTATCACTACTATTACTACTATCACTACAATCACTATTATTACTATTATCACTATTATCACTACTATCACTAATATCACTACTATCGCTACTATGACCTCTATCATTGTAGCCAGCGCGATCTTTCCTCTCCACTCTAACGTCTCGACGAAGTTTTTGATGGACTTTTTCCAGGAAACCAGCGATCACGCTTTCTGTATCGCGTGGTATGTTATCGTCAGGCGCCATGGAATTCCGAGTGGTGCTAGTCTTATTGCGACCGGCGGGGTCCAGAAGAGCTTCTACCTGAGCACTGCGGTAGTAGCGATAACAACCATGACAATGATAATAGTGGTTGTCTACTGCTACTATCGGAATAGCATGATGAAGCCAATCATCCCCCTCATTGCACAGATGACTAATTCTGGAAAGCCCTTGCGATAGACCATATCACTGGTGATTCTAATGAGGTGTAGCACATTACTCCGAGCCTCTCTAACGAAGTGGAGTATTATTATATTTATAGTGACATCGATACTATAATATTATATTAGAAATTGCCATATTTCTGTTAACCGAAAATGTCTATAATGTTATCAACAAAAAATGTGTAAATATCCCTGAAAAATACCCTTCAAATAGGGGAACTTTACACTAAACTTTGGTGATCA